ACAACTCTATTCACCCCCCCTCTAGAGTTGCACTTTTGTCTAACAATTGGTATCGGAGCAGGAAGTTCTTCGAATACGTTATTTTTTTTCAGGAACTAAAAGATCAAATGGCATCAAGAATGTTCAACGCAGGAGTGACCGAGGGACAATCAACCACGAGGCCACCTTTGTTCGATGGAACAAACTACTCGTATTGGAAGGAGAGGATGAGAATCTTTATCCAATCCAACGAATACAAGCTATGGTTAATTGTGAAGAACGGATGCGGAATCCCGATGAAGAAAGTCGGTGAAGTCAACGTTCCCAAAACCGAAGAGGAGTTCACCGACGAAGATTGCAAAAAGATGGAGCTCAACGCAAAGGCAATAAACATGATTTATTGCGGTGTTAATGCGGATGACTACCGCAAAATTTCGCGGTGTGAAACCGCAAAACAAATGTGGGAGAAATTGGAGGTCACCTATGAAGGAACCGCGCAGGTTCGGGAGGCCAAAATCGACCATCTTACTCACGTGTACGAACTCTTCTCAATGAAGGAAAACGAGAAGATTGAGGAAATGTTTGAGAGGTTCTCTAACATCATTAATCCTCTCAATCTTCTCGGGAAGACCTACACCGACCGAGAGCTCGTGAGAAAGGTGCTACGAAGCCTATCCCCCAAATGGCGTTCAAAGGTGGATGCAATCGAAGAAGGTCGTGACTTCCAAACAACGACCTATGATGCTCTTCGAGGTAATCTTATTACCTACGAAACCACCCAACTCTCAAAGGTGGTTGAAGAGAGGAACAAGAGGTCTATTGCTCTACCCGCAACAACATCAACCCACAACAACGTTGATGAAGAAGATGATGACAGCGACAACACCGACCTCGGACTCTTTGTCCGAAAATTCAAGAAGATGATGCTCATGAAGGGAGCCAAGAAGAACACTCCACCCAAATGCTATGGGTGTGGTGAAATTGGACACATCAAACCAATGTGTCCGAAGCTCAAGAACGAGAAGGACAAGAGGGCACCAAAGAAGCAACGTGCCTACATCTCTTGGGAGAACGACGGCTCCGGGAGTGAAGACTCAGAAACGGAGGAAGTGGCCAACTTATGTCTCATG